CTATTTTCTAGAACTATCCTGTACCTTGGCGAATGCTCTAGCATTTACTGGATATAGGGTAGTCTGGTATATAAAGAGGGTGACAACATGATGGTAAGAATGTGTGTGTAGACAGTGAGTAATTGATCTGCAGTCAGAAGTATTATTGAGCACGTTCGTTGTTATAGCATTTGTTTAGCGAGATTGTTGAAGTTGAGTGTATCGGTAAAGTTATATTTGGAAAGAATAAACCAGTTTTATTAAGAAAGGACTTGTGTCGCTTAAGTTTCGTCGGAACGAAGTTATGGAAAATCAATTAACAAACGGAGACGTAACAATACTTTGAACTTATCAAAAATATCTCAATTTCAGGATACAACAACATGTTCATAAAATGAAGATATTTAACATTTTAAAGACAATGTCAGAGTACATCTGAACTTGCTTATAATATCTAACACTTCAATAATAAAGCAGTATGTTTTTCTAGAAAATATTCATTCTTAGGAACTTGTTAACTACATTATAGTGATGGTATTCAACTGATGACCTATGGCAGAATGGTCACAGTAGAAGTAAAAGCTTGCATATTGCTCAGCATTAAGACTACCTAACTTGGGGTTACTTTGAACAGCAAGATAACTTTGAACATTTTTTGTGAAAAAAAAAATTGATCATTTTAACCATCTATAAAAATTCAGCAATGCAAAAAAAATTATTTACTCTAAAATCTTTATTCTTACTACTTTATCAATGAGTTTTGATAATAAAATATTTCTGAAAAAGAAATTTGGTTTGCAGGAAATTTTCAAACATGGCCATCATCAACATATGATAATAACAGGTTTTCATGATAATCAAACTATTCTTTTTTTCCTAGTGAAGAAAGTGTTTCATACTGCTTCAGAAGATTTACTAAATTTTTTAAAACACACAAATCTGTTCAAAATAGCTCCATATACAAGCTAAAATTGATCAGTAATTTATAAAAGACAATGTTCAAAGTAGCCCCGCTCTTGGGGTTATTTTGAACAGCATGAAAAATTTCTAAAACCTTTTAGGCAGTTGATATATGAACTAATAACTTATGGAAAAGAAACGTACGCCTAGGCCCCACATTTTGATAACACAACAACTGAGTTTCCTGTGGTATCTTTCAAGTGGAAAAAGTGTTCAGAGCAACCCCAGTTTACAATATTTATCATTAATTGTACTTGTTATTGTACATTTTTAGCAGCTCTACTGGTCGAAATTATTACATAATACATCAGGTGTTCAGCGTTGAAAATAATATGTCTTCTCTTCATCTTACCTCAATGTAAGACCAGGGAGATAACTGAAAATCAATGAATGTTATTTGAATACATCCTTTATCTTCAATATTTCTGATGATGTACTCACAGCTGTAGTCACCAGGATAACTAATAGGGAAGTGTGGAGATTCAAAGACATTTGTGGTGTTTGACTGGTACAATACATAATGGCCTTTCAATACATACACATTTTCTGTTGGACATAAACAAGAATTATAAAACAAAATGTATTTGTATCAGGTACATAAATAATCTTACAATTACTAAAGACAACATCATTTTGCAGAAAAAAAACATGCCATAAGAATCTTTTAAAATGTTTATTCACTGTTTTGCTAATTTGAAGTATGTTTGAGCATTAACATATATTTGATTATAATTGACCATTTTAATTGGGGACAGTTATCTAAAAATATTTAGAGGATGTTATAATTTTCCTATACTGAAAATGTATTTCCAATAAGTACTTACCTCTTCTCACAAGATTAGCTATTCTCGTTCAGTGCTGTACTCTCTATATGCAAACTTTTTCTTTACGCATGCCACAAGTTTTCTGCTCCCCTCCCCCTTATTAGAATTGCTATATTCCAACATGTCTCTCATGTAAATCATCATGCATCAACTCCTAACCAATAGAAGCATGATATGCTCACGTGACCCAAGTGACTTCCTCTATACTCCTCTACCGAACTATCAATTCGAAGTTTGGCAGAAGATGTCAGCACCAGAGAAAAGTGGGGAGAAAGGATGGGAAGTGTGAGTAGAGGTAAGTACCTATCAGAAATACATCTTCAGTATAGGAAAATTATAACTTCCGATATGGTATTTACCTCCTCTCCCAAGATTAACTAGAATCCCACATGAGAAAAGTGGGTAAACAAGGATGTGCCCCTGGATGTAGAGTAACTAGGGTGTGATGGACAGTACTCAGAAAGTCAACTTCATCTAAAACCTCCTTGTAAGATACTGACACAATTCAAGGGTAGGATGAGGATCATACCATCTTCACCTCAAACCCAAGAACTGGGAATTAAGACCCACACCGATTCCCGGGTATGACACGAGGATTAGCTTTGAGCTATCAATCTGGGAAATTGACATCCGGTATTGAAAGGGTGTCTATCACATGGAATCGATTCCCCCCAAATGAGGTACAGACCAGGATCATCCAATGGCAATAACATCCCCATAAGAAGAGAATGAGGGATAGTCAAGGACATTACCTTAACAATCCCATGTACCACATGCTGTGACCCATGACACAGACAGAGGAAATCAAGGGTCAACCTAAACCCATATGAGGACTTATGATGATTGGTTAACTCTAACAGAAAACCTCCTCGCGGGGTACCGACATCCATGTAAGGGTAGGATGAGGGCTACCAATCGAAGGGGTGAACTGCATTCTGATGTCTCACTCCATGGTATTGGATATTGCAAATAGGAGGATATTACATCATCTACATTCGCAGAACACCACTGCCCTACTCTGTAACTGAATAGTTATTATGTGAATCTCATTCAGCAGGGTACCTCCATGGTGAACCACCTCAGTGGCTTGAAACTGGACAATGGCAAGTATTCATATATTCCACTCAAAGAAAGGAGGGTGATGATGTGGTGCAGAGTCCAAAGGAACGTCATCATTGGAGACAGTGTAATGAGTGACCATGAAACCTTATTTTGAAAAGGAGACCATACTGAGTTATTCAATCTAGGCATGGCAGGGATGGGATGAGCAGCAATCCCCTTCTGCTTTACCCATGCAGTCCATGGGTGGTATGGTCTGGGACAAGCATGTTTATGAAGCAAAATATTGTGAAGTTATTCACCGTCAAATGATCTTGTGGAACACTCCATCTCCACAGTGAGTGTGCAAAGCCATGAAAGATAAAGCATAAGTCAACATGGCTGTACAGTGCAGATTTAGAGTTAAAGAATACCTAGTCAGGCAACAGTCGCCACAGAGCAGGATCCATGTTATAAAAAGTCAATAAAGGCCTCTGAAAGAAAGTATGAAGAAAAATTCAAGAATGGCCACAGGTGGTAGACAAAACCCTAATGAAGAGGAAACCATGATATGATGGAGATAGTGAGAGATGAACATAGTGGGAGTGCTCCACATGCTAGATTGCAGAATCTCCTCTACTGAATGACAAAGACAAGAAGCAAGGGAAAAGTGAGGTGTTGGATCTGATGGGAGGACACCTGGAACAAAGTCCAGGAGGAAGAAGGTGGGGAAGAATAGGCTAATCAAACCACAAGGCAGACCCAACTGTTAAGGGTATAAGGTGAAAGATCATAAAGGGAAGAGGATTTTCATGGGATAAAGAGTTAGGAATGTATACCCCAAAACTTAGCAGTATGGGCTATATAACAACGAAAAGCCCTGACCAGACACAGAAGCCTATCTGGATTTGGGCGAGGGTAAAGATGGGAATAGAAGAAAGGGAAATAGGAGAAAAGAAGGAACCACCCTCCCGAGTTGCTGATGTCTTTGGGAGAAAGGAATGATCCAGATAAAGGGGAAGATAGTTAGGGTGATAAAAGGTATGTGAAACATCAATGGCAAACAAATCTGACCTTCAACGTCCACAGGCTAAGAAAAGAAGGAAATATGTTTAAGGGAAAGGTGAAACATGGAACATGAGGAAAGTGGTTCAAGTGGGGGAAAAGTAAAGGAATGTAGGATCACATTAATGTCCCAATCTGGAAGGCCTGGATGCCTGGGAGGGCGATGTATCCAGACGAAATGCATGAGAATGGCAAGAACAGGGGAAGTAAAAACCCTACAATATCAGGAAGAACGAAAGGTATGGGATAAGGCTGCCCAATATTGAGAAAGTGAGGAGACTAAAGACCCACAGCCAAAGAGCCAAGTGAGAAATTCCACCACACGAGCCATGGTAGGCTTGTCAGTAGAAAACCCCCCTGGTAATATACCAACTGTGGAATACCTTCCACTTGCATTGGTACACCTCCATGGAAGATGGATGGATGGAGCTAGCTAACCAGGAAGTGACTCGACATGTGCAACCAGATTGTCTCACCAAGGACTGGACAAAAGCCAGGCATAATGATGCAGGACATGAAGGTTGAGATGTAAAATATGTGATCAAGGTTGATGAAGAAGGGAGGGAGGAAGTGGAAGAGGGATAGGGGGAGAGAGGAGCTGTCCTTTTAATTTTGGAAACCAAGGCTGAGCTGGCCAACAGGAAGCAATCAGTAGGACTCAACAAGGAGGGAGTGGATAATATAAATCACCCAATGAAGTAATCAGATGGGTGGGTACACATAAAGATATGTGTGTGACCAATCCTGTCTGAAGGCATTGACTGCCAGAGCCTGTGGATGAGGTACAGGCAAACAAAAGAGAGGCAATTTGGTGTTGAGGTCTACAACAAAGGTATCCCCATGGGGAGAACCCCACTGATGGCAAAAATCCCTGAAAATGAGGAAATCTAATGCCCACTCCATGAGATATATCTGGTCATGGTACAAAAGACAATTCACAACCAGATTGAAAACACCCAGCACATGACATGTAATAAGGCAAATGTGATGTGTGTGGTCCCAGTACAATAGTTCCAATGTCCGAAAACGTAGATATCTGGACTGGGTATCCCCTTGGTGGTTGATATATACCACCATCATAGAATTGTCTGAATGAACCATCACCAGAGAACGTTGATATGCAAAGCACTTTTGTCCAATGGCCTGAAGCTTCCTGGTGATTGACCCATTCCCCCATCCCTGAAGGGATGTGTTTATGAAAAATGTAGATAAAGACATAAGGAAGGAAGCAGCACACCCACTGATGAATAGACTTTGTCCAGCCACGAATTCAGATTGTCTCGCAGGAGGAAGGGAAATGTGGTGGAAAGAGTATCCCAAGCAAAGTTCCATCATTCATAACTGAGAGAGACCAGAGCTGTCATTGAAAAACCAATTTGATCAACCAACCCACCCGAGCTGCCACAGAAAGTAGCTGCTGAGTATGGTTGGCCAGTTCTTGTTCGGAATTAGCCAAAAGAAGCCAGTCATCCATGTAATAGTGAAATTTTAGCCCCAGAACATGGAGATGATGTGCAAAAGCCTGGACTATTCGACAAAACATGTAAAGTGCCGAAGGGGAGGGCTCAATATTGGTAAACCACCTCAAGATGGACAAATTGAAGATTGGGTTTGATTTGAATTTTGCACAAAGCTACACGAGGACTATCTGCACTAGCAATCCCTAATTTAGCAGTGAAAGACTAGAGAGAAGGCAGCTAATCATCGCCATCCACCACCAACTCTTGGGCTACTCTTTTACCAACAAATAGTGGGATTGACTGTTACATTCTAACACCCCACGGCTGAAAGGGGGAGCATGTTTGGTGGGACGTGGATTCGAACCCACGATCTGCAGATTGCGAGTCGAGTACCCTAACCACCTGGCCATGCCAGGTCAAAACTGAAGATAAGAACGAGACTGAGGTGATATCAGTATATGTAGGTAAGCATTGGAAACATACATTTTGTCATCCACAACCCTGGAGAAAACACCCACCTCAGGGTGAGAAAAGACTCCACTGTGAACTTGGGTAGTGATATGAAGCAGTTGAGGCGAGCTAAATCGATTACCAGCCACTAATCCCCGATTTTCTTGAAGACAACGAAAAGGCGGGAATAAAAAACCCTGGAAGGATGGGTAACATGTTTGATTGCCTGCTGCAAAAGCAATTTCTGAACCTTTTCTGACAAACGCTGGCTGGTAACTGGATCTCGAGGAGGAGGATGGAAGGAAACGGAGAAATCAGAGATAGTGGGGAAAGAAACTGAACAACGAATCCTTCTGACAGAGCCTGAAGCCCCCATTGATCATCAATGAAGATGTCAGCGATGAAGAAACTCAAACAGCTGAGCCCCCACCAGACCTGAACTCAATGGGTAGTCACTGGTACTGTTGGCGATGAGGGGTGCATCGTCGAGGAAGGCAACAAGAAGAAGTACCCCAAGTAGAAGAAATAGGTAAGGACTGGGGAAGGGAGGGACGGGAAACGGGAAGTGGAAGCATATGAGGCTCTGACTGAGACAGAAGGGCTAAAATATTTATAAGGATGGATTGTTGGTGGACTGATATCACCCAAGGCTCAATAGCTTCTGGGACTGTATCAAAGATGTAATTCTCAGAAATGGGCCATACGTAATCCTTGAGATATCTTGAGGGTAAATGGTCCCAAGCCAAAATGTCATCATGACCTATATGGTCCCAACAACAAAGAAACCACTACGTAACACCAGAGCCAAAGACGACATGGTTGCTAAAGTGAAGGAAAGAAGGGCAAGGGTATATGCAGAAAACCCCTCAGGATTTCTGTGGAGAGCCTCAGATAAGAGGTGTATGAAGAAAGATACCATAAGAGGTTGGTAAAGGTAAGATATAGGCGAGAATATTGGGCTTGGATAAGATTGACATTTGATTTGGGAGCTGCCCCCCCCCCCCCCAAATAGGTAACAAGGAATCTAACAACTGCGGATCTCAAAAAGGATAGTATGCCCAATGGTAAAAAACCCTGGGGGCATGGCATGCTAATCCCCTCACTCAATTGCAATCAAATTGATCAACATGAACCCTAATATCAATGGAGGGAGGAAAAAACAGAAAGTGTTGGGAAGATTGTTCATGCAATAAGGAAGGTGAATAAGAAATAGGTGAAAGGGATAAAACATCAAAAATCTGAGACACAAAATCCAGAAAGATCCAATTAGGCTTCAAAGAATCCTCAGGTTGGGAATGAGAAGGAACGGCAAACACTGGAGGTGGAAAAAGACAATTAAAGTCCTTGTCAGCCTGAACAGACTCAGCCAGCTCAGGAGGAGTCTGGGGACAAAGGTTGGTCCATGTAACATTCGATCTCTCGATGTATAAAAGCAGATAAATCCACCATTGGGTCGCCTGAACAGAACAGCTTCACCAAATTCGAGTGCAGAAATAAAGCGACTAGAATTAACTGATAAATACTAATATAGGAATTAGGTTGAATGAAAGCAAATTAAGTCGAAAAATAGCCACTTCGTGAGGGAAGCATTAAGCAAACAAAAGACCACATACGAACTCAAACACTTCCAAATGAGAAGTGATAGTTTGGTAGAGGAATCATGTGAGCATATCATGCTCCTATTGGTTAGGAGGTGATGCATGATGATTTGCATGAGAGACAGCAATTCCAACAGGGGGGAGCGTAAGACTTGTGGCATGTGTAAAGAAAAAGGTTGCATATAGAGGGCAGCACTGAACGAGAATAGCTAATCTTGTTAGAGGTGGTAAGTACCATATTGGAAAAGGGATTTGATGAAGACCTATATCACCATCTGTTTTCTCTACACACTACCCTGCTAAGTAAATCTTTTAAATTGAATCTTATCAAAATTTCAGTATCATTTTTCTGAAAATATGCATTCATACAGTGGTTTAGTACTAGATAAGAACAAAAAAACCTAGGCTGTACGATTATCAGAAATAGAAGACCTGAGGCAATGTCTCAAGGAGTAAAATTTTAATTAATTAAACAGCTTTAAGCAAAATGCACGGAAAGACCATTTCTCTGTTCAGTTCTCTCTATATCTGTTTGATTTGTTTGTGTAAAGTTGTATATGAAAACTTTATAAGCAATATTTTTGGTACTATGAAAACATAACCATACCAAACTGACTACAGACCAAAAGAACATCTTATTTTTCAACTTTCTCTCTACTTCTAACACACATTCATTTTATTTTCTATATAAAATGTTTATTTACTTCTTTACTTGTTGCTGTTTTTTATGTGTAGAATATACAAGTAACTACAGAGTATTGAAACAACAGTGAATATGAACACCAACAAAAATAACAAAACTTTACATGGGGTTTCAGTAAAGAAGACTAAGGAGAAAACATTCAAAGTCTTTTGTCTTCAGGCAGAATAAGAACTTCTTGCACATCATATATGAGCCATCTGGTGAGGATGTTTGATGTGGTTCATAATTGGTAAGTGGTACTGAAACTTCAATTACTGATTACATGGTTCTGGTTCCTTACTGGTTGATAAGGTGGTTCTAGTTTTAGTGACAGTTATGTGTGCACTCCTTATGTTTATCAGTGATAACCACAGGCTGATAATCTTCAATCTTTTGTCTCTGTTGAATAAAGGCAGCAGGATGTTTGTGTAAAGAATTTCCTTATCTTCCTAGTTTTCCAATGCAATGAGCCTGAAACTGTCGCAGCTAGTTAATTGTATCTCTTGTTACAACAAAAACATTTTACTATTTCCTATTCCCATTGTGAGTTGAATACTGTGGTCTATAAAGTTGAAATGTTTCCATAAAGAAGTTAGGTGTTTCTTTCTGTACAGCCAGATTGCAAATGTGTCATCTACAAAGCATCTATAAAAACTAGATCATTTTTCTCTGGAGTTAAGTGTTCTGTGTTCAGAGTTTTCTATGCAAATATCTGCTAAGACTGGAGAAAGTGGAAAACCACAGCAAGGTATTCTGTTTGTTAACAGAATGCGTGTTGTATTGGAAGTAAGTAGACTGTACACAAGCTGTAGTTAATTACATGATAGCTTCAATGTTCATGTAAGTTCTGGTTGATAGGGAACCCTCATTTAATAGCCATCGTTTGGTGTTAAAAGATGATACATCTTTCACTTTCAGAGCATCATAAATCATGTATGAATTAATCAAGCTAGTGTTAACAGTAGCTGTCTTCAGTAATTTTTTGTTTCTTGTCTAATTGAACATCATTCTGGCCATCACTTTTTTATGCCTGATTAATGTGTATCTTTGAAATAGATGGATAGATAGATTTTATATAAATTGTAAGGTGATACATTGCTACTGAACTGGATGATACACACTCCTAAACCAGTCTTAAGGATAAACAAGAGGGAATCCTCAATAGCCATGGCACTTGAAATTCTTTTAGACAGGATTAGGGTAAATTAATCTATGAGAGCTTTGCTTCCCTTTTTATTAGCTATATTTTGTGTGTCAGCAATACCAAGTGTGGGGCATATGTATACCTTATTTGATTTTATTAGACATTTGGTTCTATACCAGCCTACCTTCAAATTGAAATTATTTTATACAGGCTTAGAATAAATTAATCTATGAGACCTTGGGTGTGGTCAAATACATCAATCAAAAGGGTTTAACCTCCAAAGTCCAAAACTGTAATTAGATCTCAAATCAGTCAAGAGATGATGAAGCTATGAGCTAAAAGTTTGTACTTGAAAAAAAAAACGAAAAATTCAGAGCCATTCTATGAGCTGCTCAGTTGTGGCTAAAAAACAATGTCTTCCTTATATAAGTTAATCCTGAAGTTTATGGAGGAGTATAAATACAAAAACACAAACAAGAAAGCACTAGAGAGTTAAAATTTTGTTCTGATATTTGTTTTCTCTTAAAGAATATAGCAAAAAATTTATTTTATATGCCATTAAACTGCTCACACTATTTTACTTATAAACATACAGTTTTTTTAATTTAAACTACTTTATATAAAGCAAAATTAAGTTAACCATTACACTAGCTAGAAAAAACATTAAAAAAACTGTTTGACTGAGAATAATATTACACAAAAATGTAATAAACCATTAATTCGTAGATAGACATTACATTACACAACCAAAGATTTTAAGAACTTCTACTACACTTTAACTTGAAATAGGACATCATCATTACTTACTGGCTGCTGTGAACTGAAGAACAAAGCTATCTTTGTATGTATATCTATAGAAGAAATCTATAGTCACAAGTTTAGTTCTAGACTCATACTGCAAGCTGAATGATTTGTTATTGACAAAACCACAAAATTTCTGACCAGATATGGCATAGGCTGATTCTTTGATCCAAACATAATCACATCTAAAATAAAAACAAAACTAAATGAACATTTTGTTACATACACACTTGTATCTGAAATTCAGCTATATAAGGGTAGTTGTTTTTTTATACCAAAACTAAGCTTGTCAGTAAAGTAACACATGGAAACACTTTTATCATTTGAATACATTTGTTTAGCACAGTTAGTCTATCAGAAATGATAGTTGTTAAACTCATAGTTATTATTTAAAGAAAAGTTTTATGATACAGAAATAACTTCACTGTCTTCCTGAACTTTCTGTTAATTTTTATGAGTTGTTCTTAATTTCATGATACCAGTTTATGTCAAATATCAATTTTTTACATAGTTTAATTTTTCTGCTACGATAATGTAAGTAAGTGAATAATTTAATTGTTGATATGGTGATGTAAGTTATAAACAAAAAAGAAAGATGTATGGTAGTTAGTACTGCTGTCTTATGTTATATTGTTTTATATGAATATAATTATATTATGATATTGAGAGTTTAAACACTATAGGATATTAATGCAAATTATTTCTTCATTTGTGGCTGACAATGTTAACTTCTAGTTGAAACACTTGAGTATGATGTTAGAATTAACAAGGTTATACTTTGGTCAACATACAAGTTCATTGCATCTTTATTAACCACATATTGTTTATATTTACCATATCAGTAAAGAAATCAAAGTTAAAGTGGTCTAGATGTTTAATAAATGCAAGACATATAATTCAAAAGGCTAACTAAACATGACAACATTTGTTACACAGCTATGGCTAATAGATTACCTGCAGGAGTTGTCAGAGCTGCACTTTGGAATGTTTAGATACAGAACTGAAACAACAATGTGACATGATGGGCAAGAGACTAGTTCCACAGTACATTTAGGAAGGCTCAGATTCTCTGTTTCATTTTTTAAGAATTTGCTGCTTACATTTTCTGCTTTGATGATCCCAGTTTCCCCAATATCAACATAATATTTCTTTCCATTCATCAATTTGCATAAGTCTAAATAAACACAAAACAATTCTAAAATAACAGGAGAAAAATGGAATACCTAAGGGAAACTTTTCATAAAATATAATTATGTTACACATGTATGTGTTTAATATATTATATTATTTCTCTGATGCTTTTTCATTTTAGTTATTTGTTTTTTTCACCTCAAAACACCTTATGCACACAATGGGCTAAACAGCCAGGTCAGAATAGCCATCCCTAATTATAAATTGTGGAGCAAAGGGAAGCAACTGTCACTTGAAGCAGCTACTCTTAACAAATAGCAGGATTGCTTGTCATTATTATAACCCACTCACAGTTGAAAGTGTAAAATGTGTTTGGTAGTACCTCATCTCAAATCTGAGACTCTCAAATTACCAATCAGATACCACAACCATAGGCCATGATCAAGTATACTTGTTCATGATTACTATGAAGGTGGAAAAAATATCATCAATGTACAGCAAAAGGATTTTAAAGACATGGGTCAGTCTTACAACTGTTGTTATTCATAAAATATAGAATGAAAATGGTATTGTAAGGAGACAACCTTGATCCCATAGCCTATTTATTCTTCCCTAGACAATTTATTTGTTTTTGTGAAAGACAAAAGCTGGCATATCGTTTCATGTCCTTAAAGCCCCTCTACTATCAAAGGTACTAATTATTGTATGCTGATGGTAATGATATTTTTGCATACTTTAGTTCATTGTTTTCATCATAGGAGGTGACTCTCATTTTCGGAAGTGAAAGCTTTGGGTTTGTGTTATGTCTTATGTAAATTATGCCGACTGTTTGCTTTTAATTAGATTGTTCCAACTCTTTGTTTTCGAAGTGCAACATAACATTTACACATTGCACAGTACAATCATATATTTCAGCCAAAACGTTACTGATCTGTTTAAAACAGCATATAAACTTTAAAATGAAATAAGCAGCAGTTATTGAAGCTGACATGTAGTATGAAAAAATAAATATGTATAGGCAAAAATTTAGAAAAACTATTGATAATTACATTTCTAAGGTAAATAGAGAGTCAATCACACTTTCTAAGAGCGATTTGCACATGCGAATGCAGTGGCGTGTTGTCATAGTTACGAGCTTAGCGCCGGGCTTGGTTTAGTTCCAGTATATTAAGTTCAAAGCAACTGTATGATCATTCCACAGTACAATTCCTTTGTAATAGAAGTCAAAGAGAAACAGCATTTTGAAGGAGATATACTTCAATTTTTCTTCTAGGTGCTGAAATAATTACACAGTAGAACATTCACGATATTAACAGCATTCGATACTACGGCCCAAACCAACTTGGATTAACACCCTTTGCCGCAAAGTGAAAGCTATGCATGGTTACAAAAGAGAACCACCCGCCCCAAAAACATTGAAACGAAGTTGGCGAAAGCTCATACGCCTCTAAGTCAATGCCTATTTTGATGGGCAATACTGCTGAAGAAGCATAAATCACAGTAATACCTTATGACTCTCTTCTCGATGCAGGTCCGATAACCTTCTATGCCTTTGTTGCTACTAGAATTTAACATCCACAAACTTGTATGAAAAATCTGTAAAAAGTTTGTCAATATGTATGGGCTAAAACTGGCCGTGCCGTCCTTCGCAAAGGATTGTTAAAAAAATGCGTTGTCGGGCAGCAGTAAATTATACAGAATAATCGTGTCATCAAACTGAACACAACTGATCATGGTGTGAACAAGAGCAGTAGCCAGCAGGTGATCTGGAAAATCGTTTTTATAATTTGCAATTAACTTTCAGTATAAATCATTCAAAGTACAAAAATGTTTAAATATTATGTGATAGAAAAACAAGATTATTCAGTTCTAATTAATAATTTAGTTTAAAATCATACCTAAGTCGATTATAAACAGCTAGTATGTCAAACCTACACATTTAAAAGAATTGTATTTAACATACGCAGACAAGTAGATTTAGAACTACGATAGTGTACAAAACTCAGAAAACTACAATATCAGAAGTGGTTTTGTTTAAAAGTTAAGCGCTCTTTTTTTTTTTGTTTTTTTTTAATAAGAAAATAATACTTACCTCCATCTGGCAAACATTCGTTCACAGCTAACGAAACAATAGCCACCAGAAAGGCAATCTCGAAATCTGATAATGAAAAACAAACTCTCTGGCCGTCAAGAAATAAAAGAAAAACTTACTTAAAAAAGTTTTAAAATAAAAGAAACTAGCCATATGTTCAGTGGAATATATATTCATTTTTTGATAAACAAAGGAAGCGTCAAACCAGGAAGGTTTTAATGCCACTATATATATAATAGGTTACGTTACATCAATTTCTAGAAATATATATGTGTGTTTACAAATCAGCAATCAAAATTTGATGAGTTTACGTAGAAATTAAATATTTGCGTTTCATTAGTATTTAAGTTGTATTAACACCTTAACCATGAAAAATATCATAACCTAAAATATTTTACATGACTATTTAATTTAATTTAATATATCTTAAATCCTAAGAGTTTGGCGTGAGTGTACGAGTTCTTGTGGAAGAAAGACTTCGAACTATTATTTAGCAGTAAGTTAGATGTGGTTTTTACGTATATAGTCACAAAGTCAAAACGATTTCTGTTTAAGAATTACTTCGTTGTTTGTAAAATAAGGAAATTTATTCTTGCTAGGAACATTCAAAACATAATTAAAGTTCAAAATTATGAAAAGGAATATAGTGCACTTCACCTAAACGGCTGATATACAGTCGATTTTATTCGAAACTATTATTTAATATCTCTCACATAACGAAAACAAATAAAATCCAAGTTTATTCTGACTGTAACATAATTAACAGGAAATTCGTACAACGACGTTTTCCTTTCACCATATAAATTAAATCCAACTTTTAGATATAAAAAAGTAATACACCACATAACAGAAATCTAAAATTCAAAATGGTATACACCTTTTCATTTAAAAACGAAGACTTGTACAATTCTATCCTTATAGCTCTACTGACGAATTCGTTTAGTACAAAAAGTAGACGTGTTACAACAGAAAAACAAGAAACATAATAAAAAAAACTTTAAGGTATAATGAATGTGCGAAGTTCTAAACATAATAAATACAATGAACTAGTTATGCATTAAAAGCTTTACAAAAAACACTAAATATACATGAATGCATATACACAATTAAATGCTTAATAATTACTCACTTGACCACAAGTCCATCAAACTTGTACGTGGAATCGGTAGAAACTATACAAATAAACTTTACATGAATTGTTTTAGAAACACGGGTAAATCGTAGTGCATAAGACCAGGGTTTCTTTACTATGTGAAGAAATACAAGCTTTATAAATAAAACGACTCAGAAGTCTTAGACTGAGACTCAGTAGGCACGATGAACGAAATCAGTGTCTTTTGGGCGCTAATAAGATTAAACATTTTAATCCACTTTAGCTGTGTGCACTTGGGTTGACGAGCGCGGAAAAATATGAATAAAGAGATCTTGGATATTTTACTAATTATAGTATTTCTTTCACAGGGATTTATCAGGACCTGCATAATTAATAAATGAATTGGCAGTTACTGTTTCATTTTAGATATTGCAAAAAATTACTGAACCACAACGCTTTAAGTTTTAAATGTAGACAAAAATTTAAACTTACATATATTG